CCCAATCTTGGGGTTCACCCTGCAATAGTGAAATTAAAAATCCCACTTTCACTGATTCCGTTAGGAAGGTGCGGGGTTGAAATTCAAAAAACAGGAGGCAGGAATCCCGAAAAGACCTGAAGCGTGTTCGGTCCCCGTGAAAACGCTCAGGTAGTGGTACTCGGGGTTCAACCCTCGGTAGAGGAGCAGAGGCCCCTGAAGCTGGCCCCAGAGCTTCTTCTACAGGGAGAGCGGAAACAGGGGCCTGTGGAGCAGGGCCAGATGCAGAGCGGGTCTGGAAACGGTTTTCCAGGTGCGTGCATTTGTCCTGCAAGGTTGCCACAGCCTGTGTCAGGGCTGATAGGTGCCTGCAAATATCTCCCAGCGGGGCTGACCCTCCTCCAGGCTCAGTCATGGCCGTCTGGTACTGTAAGGGACCACCAGGCGGTACCACTAGCACTCCACTGGCCAGGCGTCCCCAGCGCACGGTATCTAAGCCCCAGGGTACGTGTTCACCAGAGCCCCTGATGGTGGGGATGGACTTGAAGTACCCCGAGACCAGGTCGTAGCTACTGAGCACGCCTGTCAGTGGTAGCGGTATTCGCCAGGGGCTCCCGCAGGGAAGAGCCTGATGTGAGGAGGTCGGGTGATCCCGTCGGGATGGATGGATGGATGGCTGAGCAAGTGCGGGGTCAAACGGGCCGGGTCGGTAACAGTGGGGACGGAGCAGTACAAGGCAGCGGGCAGAGAGTAGTCGGGTCACACGCCAGGTCAGCAACGGAAGGTCAGATCCAAACGGGGGCATTCAGGAGAGAGGTCAGGCAAAGCAAGGGTCTGGGCAGGAGAAGGCAACAAGGTCAGGTACAATCCGGGTCAATAACTTACTTAGAACAGGTTCGCAGATACAGGATACAAGGAAAGACCAGAAGGCACTGAATGACAGCTCAGGGCCGTTTTAAATTTCCCGCCCTGCGCTGCCATTGGTGCCACGCGCGCGCGCCCGCGGTCCCTACTGCGCATGCGCGCGAACTCCCTCGCCGCGGACGGCCAGGTCTCAGTGCCCGCATTCTGACACGGGGCAGTGCACTGCGCCTGCGCCGAGCTCGTCGTAGCGGGATTCCTGACAATATATATATACAGTGGGGATCGAAAGTTTGGGCACCGCAGCTAAAAATTTGTATTAATGTGCATAAAGAAGCCAAGGAAAGATGGAAAGATCTCCAAAAGGCATCAAATTACAGATTAGACATTCTTATAATATGTCAACAAAAGTTAGATTTTATTTCCATCGTTTACACTTTCAAAATAACAGAAAACAAAAAAATGGCGTGTGCAAAAGTTTGGGCACCCTGCAGAATTTATAGCATGCACTGCCCCCCTTTGCCAAGCTGAGACCTGCCAGTGTCATGGATTGTTCTCAATCATCATCTGGGAAGACCAGGTGATGTCAATCTCAAAGGTTTTAAATGCCCAGACTCATCTGACCTTGCCCCAACAATCAGCACCATGGGTTCTTCTAAGCAGTTGTCTAGAAAACTGAAACTGAAAATAGTTGACGCTCACAAAGCTGGAGAAGGCTATAAGAAGATAGCAAAGCGTTTTCAGATGTCAATATCCTCTGTTCGGAATGTAATTAAGAAATGGCAGTCATCAGGAACAGTGGAAGTTAAAGCAAGATCTGGAAGACCAAGAAAAATATCAGACAAAACAGCTCGCAGGATTGTGAGAAAAACAATTCAAAACCCACGTTTGACTGCACGATCCCTCCAGAAAGATCTGGCAGACACTGGAGTTGTGGTACACTATTCCACTATAAAGAGATACTTGTACAAATATGGTCTTCATGGAAGAGTCATCAGAAGAAAACCTCTTCTACGTCCTCGCCACAAAAATCATCATTTCAACTTTGCAAATGAACATATAGACAAGCCTGATGCATTTTGGAAACAAGTTCTGTGGACCAATGAGGTTAAAATTGAACTTTTTGGCCGGAATGAGCAAAGGTATGTTTTGGAGAAGGGGCACAGAATTTAATGAAAAGAACCTCTGTCCAACTGTTAAGCATGGGGTTGGATCAATCAATCATGCTTTGGGGTTGTGTTGCAGCCAGTGGCACAGGGAACATCTCATGAGTAGAAGGAAAAATGGATTCAATAATATTTCAGCAATTTTGGATGGTAACTTGATGCCATCTGTGAAAAAGCTGAAGTTAAAGAGAGGATGGCTTCTACAAATGGATAATGATCCTAAACACACCTCGAAATCCACGGGGGAATTACATCAAGAGGCGTAAACTGAAGGTTTTGCCATGGCCTTCACAATCTCCTGACCTCAACATAATTGAAAAATCTATGGATAGACCTTAAAAGAGCAGTGCGTGACAGACAGCCCAGAAATCTCAAAGAACTGGAAGACTTTTGTAAGGAAGAATGGGCAAAGATACCTCAAACAAGAATTGAAAGACTCTTGGCTGGCTACAAAAAGCGTTTACAAAGCTGTGATACTTGCCAAAGGGGGCAGTACAAGATATTAACTCTGCAGGGTGCCCAAACTTTTGCAGACGCCATTTTTTTGTTTTCTGTTATTTTATAAGTGTAAATGATGGAATAAAATCTAACTTTTGTTGACATATTATAAGAATGTCTAAGCTGTAATTTGATGCCTTTTGGAGATTTTTCCATCTTTCCTTGGCTTCTTTATGCACATTAATACAAATTTTTAGCTGGGGTGCCCAAACTTTTGATCCCCACTGTATATATATATATATATATATATATATATATATATACAGTATATATATATTGGTTTTATAATTATTACCTTGCAAAAATTACTTTTTTCTCAATCTATAGACACTTAAATGTAACAAAAATGAATAAACCATACTTTTTTCTTTTTATGACTAATGTAAGCTCACAAATAGTGTTGCTGCAGATAAATAATGTGCATTTTATTTTGTAATTTGTCCTGTTTAAAATGACACAAAAAAATTATGATTCTGGTACAAAGCATTACAAAAATAGAGTGTGTGATTTTTTTTCAATGTTGTGCTTTTTAAATATGAAATGTGTAAATATACAGTATGTAAATTTTTTTTAAATTATTAATAAACAAAACAAAAAAGTTTAAATAATAATAGTTTATAAAATAGAAACAAAAAAAGGAAAGAGGAAAATATTAATTAAATAGATAAGGAGAATAAATAGTTATTAGGGCTAATTAGACTAAGGTTTAATAAAGAGTTAAACAAAGAAACATTTTATTAGAAAAAAAACAACAAAAATATTTTCTATTTGACTACACTGTATCTGAGCACCACATACCAAAAACGTAATTTAATTCATTTTTAATATTCAAAGCAAACTCATCCATCCATCCAGGTATCCATGCTTTATTTGGAGGAATCACTTTAAAAAACACTCCCTAGCATTTTTGACCATCTTGAGTAAGGACAGAAGATTCATGTAGCATTTATGTCTTGGAATCTATCTGCCCTGAGCTCAGGCATGCAGGCAGGAGAGTGTGCTTAGCTGAAAAAGCTTCTCCTCCCCTCCTGAAGACTCCTAGGATGTATGACATCATTTGCCTAGACATGGAACCCAGGAAGTAACTGAAGAAATGTAAAAAAACAAAAGAGTAAAACAAGTAAATATGATATATTTCCCAATCTATTTACTAATGCTAGAAGCATAAGGATTAAAAATAGTCAAAGCTGATTGAGAGAGTGAAGTTCAACTTTAACTGACATCATCTGCAGATCAAAGAGTATCCCTTAGATACATGGATGAATGAACAGAATATATACAAAAGTAACAAAATTTAACTTTTGTATTTTTGTATAGTATATTTATATAGCAGCTTGTTGATAAACATTGTCCAACTTCTGCAGAGCAGAAGAACATGCTACATATGTACTGTGCACATTTTATACCTTTTTTTGGGCATGTGTACCATTCCCACAGTCTGGAACTAGTTAAATTCTAGAGCCACATTCACTGACAATATCTCCTGAAGAAGTGATAGTGAGAAAAAGTGAGTGTGGAAACGCGTTGGGGAAAAAAAAAAATCAGAGTCTATGGATTTTGTGAATTATTGCAAAATATCAACATGCAAAACAAAATGTTTTGAAGTGTTAAGCCAGACCTGGATAAAATTATGAGTGGTTACATGTCCCTTTTTGAACCTTTCTTTAGTCATTTTGTGGCTATGCAATGAAATTACCAGCCAAAATGTGTGGTTTTATGGTCTTATGTGATGTAAAAAAAGCAAAGAAAGCCATTTATAACTCTGCCCCAAATTACATCACCAATCTTGTCTCCAAATATCACCCAAACTGTACTCTCTGCTCCTCGCACAACCTCCTGCTCTCTAGCTCCCTTGTCTCCTCCTCCCATGCTCGTCTCCAAGACGTCTCCAGAGTTTCCCCCATCCTCTGGCACTATCTTCAACAATTGATCAGACTATCGCCTACTCTGATCATTTTTAGGCGATCTCTGAAAACCTATCTCTTCAGCGAAGCCTATCCTGCCCTCAGCTAATAATGGAATCTTCTATTCCTCCTACCAGTCCATCCCCCACAGTTATTACCATTTGTACCAACAGCCCCTCCCTCTTAGATTGTAAGCTCCAAGGAGCAGGGCCTTCCTAACCCTCTTGTATTGAACTGTATTGTTGCTGTATTGTCTCCGTTATATTGTAAAAGCGCTGAGCAAACTGTTGGCACTATATAAATCCTGTATAATAATAAATAATAATAATGATTATCATTATACAAGATTTATATAGCACCAACAGTTTGCTCAGTGCTTTAAAACATGAGGACAAACAGTACAGTTACAATACAATTCATTACAGGAGGAATCAGGGGACACTGCTTGTTAAAGCTGATAATCTAAAAGGGAGGGTCAAGTGATACAAAAGGTACTAACTGTGGAGGATGAGCTGATGGAGAAAGTGGAATTATAGTTGTTAGTTGAAGGTGGGGTAGGTTTCTCTGAATAGAAGGGTTTTCAGGGATTGCTTAAAAGTGGACAGAATAGGAGTTTACAACGAAAGATTGGGGTAGGGAGTTCCAGACAATGAGAGAGGCTTGGGAGAAGTCCTGGAGGTGAGCATGGGAGGAGGTGACAAGGGAGCTAGAGAGCAGGAGGTCTTCGGAGGAATGAGAGAACAGTTAGGTTGGTATTTAGAGTCTAGGTTAGTGGTGTAGCTGGGGGGCAGAGTTGTGGATGGCATTCTAAGTTGTTGTTAGTCATTTGAATTTAATTTGTTAGGTGAACGGAGGCCAATGGAGGGATTGGCAGAGAGGGGCAGCAGAAACTGAATGGAGGCCAGTGGAGGGATTGGCAGAGAGGGTTAGCAGACACTGAATGGAGGCCAGTGGAGGGATTGGCAGAGAGGGGTGGAGGACACTGAATGGAGGCCAGTGGAGGGATTGGCAGAGAGAGGGGTGGAGGACACTGAATGGAGGTCAGTGGAGGGATTGGCAGAGAGGGTTAGCAGACACTGAATGGAGGCCAGTGGAGGGATTGGCAGAGAGGGGTGGAGGACACTGAATGGAGGCCAGTGGAGGGATTGGCAGAGAGGGGTGGAGGACACTGAATGGAGGCTAGTGGAGGGATTGGCAGAGAGAGGCAGCAGACACTGAATGGTTGGTAAAGTGGATGAGTCTGCAGCAGCATTCATGATGGACTGAAGAGGGGATAGCCTACGTAAAGGTAGTCCAATGAGGAAGGAGTTGCCAGAGTCAAGGTGAGAGATGACCAGAGAGTGAATTAGGAGCTTTGTGGTGTCTTAGGTTAGAAAAGGACATATATATGCTCTGTGTTTTTTTTTTTTTTACCTCGTGTACCTGACAAAGTCCCATTAATCTTGCATTTTTAGAAGAATTTTTGATTAGTCATTCAATAAATACATTTAAGGTATGCTACAAAAGCCAGCATAAACTTAAAACAAATTAGGTAATAATGGAATGTATTCAATCACTTCTCAGAACAGTTACACCTCGATGGACACTTTAACTGTGTAGGTAAACAGACAAAGCTTCTGGCGTCATCACAATGGGGCCCTTTATTGTGAAGAGTGACTGTACGCGCATATTTTCAATAAATACATAATACAGACCAGCTAGAAGCAATTTCTCTCTCACCAGTCTTTAAATAAAACAGTAAATATATTATAGAATAACTAGCGCAATTACCTAGCAATTTTAGAAGATAAATAAAAGTACGGTTGTGGCTGTTTCTCTTCAACATGAACAAAGATATGCAATTGTGCGAAAACAAATGCAAAAATACGACTTGCTTTACTGCCCCCCTACAGGCATTGATCATATAAATCCATCTATGGCAATTGACTCACCAGGTTCATTCGCTCTGACATAAAAGGCTGAAGAGCTGGTCCACCGCGGATAATGCTCCACCGATTAAGTTGACTTTGAAATGTTATTTCTACATGGCGAAGCTGTATAGATGCCAAGATAATCCAATGCAATAATAAAAGCTATGTGTTCTTACCTGATGTGTGAAATTATGTTTCAACAAGAAGAAAGCCACTTGAATTCTGCCTTGCTAGATACATCTAAATCATCCCATATAGATAATCAATTAGGACAATCACACTACTGGAGCAGAAATGGGATTATGCATCTTGGTATTTTTTTTTTATATTTTATATCCATTTGCAGAACCTTTACATGTACTGAAAGAGAGATGAAAGATATTCTCGAAGGGACAGGTTTTGTAGGAGACTACAAGCTCCTATTTATCCCTTCCAACGCTGATGGTGCACAGTGGTTTCTTTTTGGTACATAATGTACCTACTTATGCTGTACAATTTGATAAGAGTGCAATAGGCATATACTGTAAATGTACCTTTGTACTCTTTGGATGTTAATTTATATCCCACTTAAAGCACTTGAATAATCCCCAAACAAACATTTATCACATACCTGATAGAAGACTAAAATTACAAGGGTGGACTTCTAGCTCAGGCCCCGCTGAGGGAGGAACAAAAGGTACAGAGGGAGAGAAGGAACATGAGTGTCGATAGGTGTTGATAGAAGCACTTGCAGCAGGAGATGCGGTCCCAGGCAGGCTGACAGAACATCAAGTCAGGAACAGTAGCTGTGCACAGCCAAGGTTAAAAGGGCACTCTACATGTGCTGAAGAAAAGCAGAAGAAAGGTTGCCTTGATGAGGAGCTGCCGGTCCCTCTCCAGGCGGTTGCCTTTCGATCCATCCCTTCTTCCATCATCAGGACACACCACCTGTATTCACACCACCACCACTCCAGTCAAATGTGATCTTCATCATCCCCGACGAGGCCTGCCGCTCCCATCCAGGTGCCCTGGTTCCTTGGTCTGCCTTCTCCTCCCATTACCTATCCTATGGACCATTCCTACCCAGTGACTCTTCTTTATTTTTTTCTGTGTTTCTAAGTCAGTTCTCATTTTTCCTTCCACTACACCCCATACCACCATCCCATTCTATGTCATGTGAGTGCTGAATTTTGTTCATTATCTAATGATCATTGCATGTATTACTCTACATGTGCTGCAGGTCCCGGAAGTGTGGCTTATCAGAACTCCCAGCAGACTGGAGGCAGGAACACACTATAGTGGGCAAAACCAGTACAGATGACAGCCAGGAAGCCGTTCAAACAGGACTTGGAACAGAATCAGGAGCAGAACCATAGTCACGAGAATAGCCAGGTTCAACAAACAGGCAGGCAGCGAGGTACAGAATCATAGGCAGAGGTGTGGTCAGGAGCAGAGCTGGGGTCAGGAACTGGTGACAAGGTAGGAGCAGGATCCAAGGTCAGAGGCAAGCTGGGTTGGTGACAAGGGAACATGCACAGAAGTAGCAGGACATGAGAAACAGTGTAAAGACCAGTCAGGACCAGAGCACAGGCAGCAGCATCCTAAAAGAGGACATCTGGTGGCAACAGGCACTGTGGCTCCTCTGTGTGTGCATTCCTGCAAATGTGTGGTCATCATTCTATGCAAAATGCTATGAGCATTCCCTGACATTATTTCTATTGCTTTTCAATCCTGTTTCTGATTCAACTCTGCTATGTTGAGGGCATGTGGTCTACCATGGTTCAGGCAGGATTGGGGGATGCAGGTCCTTCCTTTTCTTGGGCAGCCAAAATCTGGTTTAAAAAGGGGGTGAGGCTTTTTTTCCCTCCTAAAATTCAAATTAGACTTGAAGGTCCTGGTATGAAATATGGGGGGGAGACCAGATATAGTGAATGCAGGGTCCTGGGAGACCAGATATAGTGAATGCAGGGTCCGGGGAGACCAGATATAGTGAATGCAGGGTCCGGGGAGACCAGATATAGTGAATGCAGGGTCCGGGGAGACCAGATATAGTGAATGCAGGGTCCGGGGAGAGCGGATATAGTGAATGCAGGGTCCGGGGAGACCAGATATAGTGAATGCAGGCTCCGGGGAGACCAGATATAGTAAATGCAGGGTCTGGGGAGACCAGATATAGTGGATGGAGAGTCCTGGGAGACCAGATATAGTGAATGCAGGGTCTGGGGAGACCAGATATAGTGAATGCAGGGTCCGGGGAGACCGGATATAGTGAATGCAGGGTCCGGGGAGACCAGATATAGTGAATGCAGGGTCCTGGGAGACCAGATATAGTGAATGCAGGGTATGGGGAGACCAGATATAGTGAATGCAGGGTCTGGGGAGACCAGATATAGTGAATGCAGGCTCCGGGGAGACCAGATTGAATGGAGACCAGATATAATGCATGCAGGGTCCGGGGAGACCAGATATAGTAAATTCCAGGTCCTGGGAGACCAGATATAGTGAATGCAGGGTCCAGCAAGACCAGATATAGTGAATTCCGGGTCCTGGGAGACCAGATATAGGGAATGCCGGGTCCTGGGAGAACGGATATAGTGAATTCTGGGTCCTGGGAGACCAGATATAGTGAATGCAGGGTCTGGGGAGACCAGATATAGTGAATGCAGGGTCCGGGGAGAGCGGATATAGTGAATGCAGGGTCCGGGGAGACCAGATATAGTGATTGCAGGGTCTGGGGAGACCGGATATAGTGAATGCAGGGTCCGGGGAGACCAGATATAGTGAATGCAGGGTCCCGGGTTTAGTAACACTAACATTTTTTTTTAAAACTAACCTTAGTTCCTCTTTAATGTTTCACTTTAAGCATTATTAAAACGGCTGCTTCTGGCTGAATTGATTTTTTTTTTAAATGTTTCTTTCCCCCCAGGTCAGTATCCACCCCCATACTTGCCTAATAGCCAAAAAATGACTCTTATTAATTTTACAGATTCAGCTTTCATTGATTTCAATGAGATTCTGTTCCAGTATCCAAACGTTTCTACATTTTGCTGAACTCTGCTCAAACCAAATCCGGGTACATTCAGTTTATTCCTAACAGACACTATCTGCATGAACTTCATTTATTTTGATCTTGTCAATACGGCTGTCCTTTTCTTATGTATTCTTGCAGAAACATGGCAGGAGAAATAGATTGTAAGCTCCTCTGGGGCAGGAACAGTTGGGATTATATAAATATCGCCAATAAAATCCCGAGCTCTATAACACAAAAAAGAAAGAAAAATAGGGGTACTTATTTTAATACTAGTTATAGGAGATAATTAGCACACTTATATCAATACAACAAATAGTATATGGTGAAATCAATATAAAGGACGTTCACTGAACATTAATAATAATTATACTGTTATTGCATTGAGCAAACATAAGTCAATGGAAACATAGGTCACTACGCCCCCACAATGACCCGACCATTGCTCATACGGATAATGCTATTGTATCTTATTTAAATGCTATTCCTTGACAAATGTTAGCATTGGACTACCCAGGGGGCGGTGGTTGGGATTTGCTGTGAATGTCAGATTAAGTGCATGATTCAGATTTGTGTTTGGACAGAGAAAAGAAAAAGTATAATAATTAGGGATAAGCAGTGAGTTTGGTAAACTGGTCAAGAGAAATTTTTTTTGTTTGTTAGGTGTACTGTCACTTTAAAAATGTAACCTTTGCCTTTTTTTTTTTTTTAACATTTTCTGTGAGATAAAAAAAATTGTAAAAAAAAGAGGCTACCGTATATACTCGAGTATAAGCCGACCCGAATATAAGCCGAGGTACCTACTTTTACCACAAAAAACTGGGAAAAACTACTATTGACTCGAGTATAAGCCCCATCATTAGTATCAGTGGGAGGAATTGTGCCCCATCATTGGTGTCAGTGGGAGGAATAGTGCCCCATCGTTGGTATCAGTGGGAGGAATAGTGCCCCATCGTTGGTATCAGTGGGAGGAATAGTGCCCCATCGTTGGTATCAGTGGGAGGAATAGTGCCCCATCATTGGTGTCAGTGGGAGGAATAGTGCCCCATCGTTGGTATCAGTGGGAGGAATAGTGCCCCATCATTGGTGTCAGTGGGAGGAATAGTGCCCCATCATTGGTATCAGTGGAAGGAATAGTGCCCCATCATTGGTGTCAGTGGGAGGAATAGTGCCCCATCATTGGTATCACTGGGAGGAATAGTGCCCCATCATTGGTGTCAGTGGGAGGAATAGTGCCCCATCATTGGTGTCAGTGGGAGGAATAGTGCC